AAAAAAAAAAAAAAAAGAGGGTAAAGTCTTTTTACTTCATTGTAATAATTTTTTGTAGAAAAATTGTTATAGTGGATAAGATGAGCTAATTAATGAAAAGTTGAAAATAAAAATACAATGAAAATTTGAAACATCTAAAATAGCTGTGATTATCTGACAATAAGAATTTGAAGTTCCGAAAGCAATCTCAAATCAAACTTTAGATATAGAGCTTATTCGGCATGACTTTTGATTTTGCTTTTTATAGAAAAAAATTTTGAGTTACCTTAATTTTTGTATGGAAACTATTTTGTAAAAGAACTTTATATTTCGAATGTACGTTTAGAGTAAGTCATATTGAACCAATTTTCTCTAAAAATTCTTTTAACTATTAGAAGCACTTTTTAAAAATTAGTCAAATTGGTCCAAAAACAACTTTTGATTTTCAAAAACTCCTTTTGATTTTCCAAAAGCTGTGTCAAACGAGCTCATAGGGTCACCTTTACATGCATCATTGATAAAAGGAGAAGCAATAAATAGTATCATATCTCCCTGCATAGCAATCAAATTCAACAGCCTTTTTGTCATATAATCTAAGATTGAGACAACTTGGATAGTCTGTTCAACACATAATATTCATTCATCGATGGAAAAAAACTGCACTCTCTCTCGTATATGTTGAAACCCTCTTTTTTGACATGTACACATTCCATTGAAATAAATAAATAAGTGTTCATAATATCACACATATACCCACTACATCTAGAAAACATTCTTTTATATAATTAAGTAGATGATATGCTGCTTTGTGATTGCCATTAACTCATTTCATCAATCCAGAATGTGACAAGTAACTGAGTGGTGAAATTTGAATAAAGAGTTTTACCTCACCAACGAAATTTGTTTAGTAAAAATTGTTGACAGCTTGAATGCTTGTGTTGTGCTGATGCACCCCAACAATAAAACTAAAGCGTTATGTGCCAACTATTGAGTGAGTCTTGAAATCTGATAATCCATGATTTGTCCCGGCCACAGCTCTCACCTTAATTCTAATTTGGCTAATGATAGAGCAGAACGCTCAACGATTCTCATTGTAGCCAATCTTTTATTGATAAAATCATTGAAAACCATATTGAATTGCAAAATAAAAAACCAAACAGAAACCATGATGGTGATGAGAAAAATATGATTTGAGTGAATCTCCTATCTAATTTGAAGGAAATGTTAGAAAACAAGAAAAGGATTAACAATCCATATGCTATAATCCAATCATTTTCACATATAAACCCTAATGCATACTCCATGTTGAAATCAGAGAAAAGAATAAACATAAACATACATTGATCTATAGATGTCTGATTGTTTGCTTGAATGGATTATGATCTTTCAATTGATTCGTGATCTTCTCTTCAATTTACTCTTTGTTGATGGAGATGCAGAGAATGAAAAGTCATTATCAACTTGGGGACCATGACCCAATTAAATAATAATAATAACTGCATATGAAGTTATTATCTTTCAGTTGTTTCAAATTAGTCACTTATCAATTCAAAACAATATTCTGGTCTCTATACTATATTTCCACGAAATCCAATACCCATTAGTCAAAAATTAACTTTAACGGATCACTTTAATGACTAAAAACAACTTTTGATTTTCAAAAACTTCTTTTGATTTTCCAAAAGCTGTGTTAAACGAGCTCATAGGGTCACCTTTACATGCATCATTGATAAAAGGAGAAGCAATAAATAGTATCATATCTCCCTGCATAGCAATCAAATTCAACAGCCTTTTTGTCATATAATCTAAGATTGAGATAACTTGGATAGTCAGTTCAACACATAATATTCATTCATCGATGGAAAAAACTGAAACCCTCTTTTTTGACATATATTTTCACTTGACATGTATAAATTTCATTGAAATAAATAAATAAGTGTTGATAATATCACACATATACCCACTACATCTAGAAACCATCTTTTATATAATTAAGTAGATGATAAGCTGTCTTGTGATTGCCATTAACTCATTTCGTCAATCCTGAATGTGGCAAGTAACCGAGTGGTGAAATTTGAATGCAAATTGAAGTTGAATAATCTAGTTATGATTGGTTAAAGTTTAACCACTCAATTTAGATTTCACTTGAAGTTCATGAAACATAGTAGACTGATGTCGGTGAAAGTTGAAATTATAATCTTTTTAAGAAGGCAATGTGTATCACTGCAAATAACAAAATCACATGCTAATCTATATAATTGGGTGTTCTTCTAATCGCAATGTCACTTCAAAATGACACTAAAAAGAAGTGTTGTTGGGACTAATCACTGACTGTTTCCTAACAAAAATGCAGCTACTTGGTTTTTTTATATTGTTGTAAGCTGGACGGTGCTTAATCGACACTGCTCACAAGTGACAATTTTTTGTGTAATCTCGACGAAAGAATGTCATTGAATAAAGAGTTTTACCCAACCAGCTGAGGCTATATGTTGGTCTCCTTATTTATGATGCATTTTGCATGCAGAAATTTGAATGGGTTATGATCTTTCAATTGATTCGTGATCTTCTCTTCAATTTACTTTTTGTTGATGGAGATGCAGAGAATGAAAAGTCATTATCAACTTGGGGACCATGACCCAATTGAATAATAATAATAACTGCATATGAAGTTATTATCTTTCAGTTGTTTCAAATTAGTCACTTATCAATTCAAAACAACATTCCGATCTTTACACTATATTTCCACGAAATCCAGTACCCATTAGTCAAAAATTAACTTTAACGGATCATTTTAATTGACTAATCTTTAAACAATAGCACCACACATTTTAATATATTACATGTGTGGCCCAATATGTTAGAATTTTCCAACAAGAAATACCAAAATAAAAAATAAAAACTTACAAGGCGATGATTTTGATATATATTGTTGTTGATTTTTATTCTGCAAACGAACATGCATCAAGTAATAAACTTAGAAAGTAAAAAAAAAAAAAATTTTAAATTGGCCCCTCATCAATTTAAAATAATCATTTCGGTATCTACACTTTATTTCCATGACATTTAATACCCATTAGTCCAAAATTATCTTTATTAGATCACCTTAATGACTAATCTTTAAACAATAGCACCACACATTTTAATATATTACATTTGTGGCCCCATATGTTAGAATTTTCCAACAAGAAATACCAAAATAAAAAATAAAAACTTACAAAGTGATGATTTTGATATATATTGTTGTTGATTTTTATTCTCCAAACGAACATGCATCAAGTAATAAACTTAGAAAGTAAAAAAAAAAAAGTAGAGTATCGTTCCGTGAGAATCGATTATTGATTATACTTTAATCCAAGACTTGTTTTAACTAAACACACCATTAATATTAGGATTTTTGAATTTAAGTTTTTAATTAACATTAAACAAGAACGTATGTAGAACAATTAAAAACAAGTCTATGTAGAAATCAATTAAAAAATGGTTAGATTTCCCGATTTCACTAACTAACCCTAGTTACATTCAATTCATATTTTGTTCAAATATCGTATTGTCAATCATTAAATTCAATATATAATATCAACGTTCATCTCTAGAGCTCTATTTAACCTATCTTTAGTTATCAACGTTCATCTCTTGAGTACTATTTAACCTATCTTTCATCAACTTTCATCTCTCGATTAATAGTTTGACAAAAATGATGTATAAGAACATGACAACCACATGAATAGATAGAAATTTCTCAATTTAACAACAAAATCATGAAATCAAGATTGGTTGTTCAAACATAAAATTTCTCTATTTAACATGTAACAAGTTTTCTTTTCTGTTTTCCTGCAAACTTAACTGCGTCTTTAGCATGTGGGAAATACAGTCTAACTTCATACAATGCGCTGTGCAAAATGAACAAAGTGGAACAAATATTGGCACAAGTGTTTAACAAAGATGAAATCAAACACAGTAATGTTTACTATTTTCTTGGGTTTAAAAGACAGAAAACATGATAGTACACATGAATCATAAAACTATGGCCTTGGCCTTTCTTCTGAAAATCTTGGAAGTTGAACTAAGGAATTGACCCTTGTAACACCTTCCAATCCAGACCAGTTCTGGTCTTCATTTGCAACATTTTCCTCGTTAGCTTCAACATCTGTAGGTATTCTATTGTTGGGATCATTCTCTTCAGATGATCGGACAGTGAAATTTCTCTGCAGACAGGGCTCTGGGTTGTGGCCATCATCTGATTCCACAGCATTACCAGAATGATTGCTCTGGAGGGTAGCAGATGAGAACCCTTGTTCATCGTAGTCGGATTCAGAGTCCATCTTCCCGTCTAAAAATAAGCAAACCACTGCACAATCATCCATCTTCGATGTTGGATATTTGGTTTTCCATTCACGAGCAGCAGACTCGACCAGTATCCTTGCAGCTGATGATCGTGTCGAAGCTGATGATACTATCTCAACCACTTCTTCATTGCTCAAGACGTCCCAAACCTGCAATGGTGCACAGCGCACACATGATTTCAGAAAAAACGGTGATGGGTACAATAGAACCCTTTTTTGTGTGTGTGTGTGGGGGGGGGGGGGGGGGGTGGGAATTCCGATGCACTTTTNGGGGGGGGGGGGGCATGGAAACAATAGAGCTTGCATGGCTGTTCTGCCTAAGAATAATATGCCCCTGTTATGAGCCCCATTTTGGTGAAAAAAAATGTATTTTGAAATAGTGATTTTTTTGGAAAATATGTGATTAAAAAAAAAGGAAAAGCTTTCATTCATGTGTAAAATTATTTTATGGGAGAATATGTGATTGAAAATGAGTTTTGAAAAAATGGGGGCAAAACATAGGCTAAATAAAAAAGGACCAAAATAATATAAAAGGAATGAATCTACGCTTTGTTACTAAAGATAAACAACTAATAATGTTGAATTTCAAAAAAAAAGTAATGTTGAATTTCACATGAGAATGTTCCCATTTTAGATCAGCACCGTCTGGTACGCAAAAGAGGCAACATCTAAAAAGAAACTTAACTACCCCAAGCAATCACATAAAATTGGTTGCTCGCTGATTATTCCTCTTCAAGATTCTGACAATACCAAATAGCATCATTTTCCATCCACCCCTTTACACCCTCATCCAAAACTAACCGTTGCAAAAGAATGGAAGAACAGTTGATATCAGTAGGAACAATTTAACAACAGTCGTTTTGCAAAAGTACTCCTTGAAGAAACCCTCTAACAGGAAAAATAATGTGCAAGATGATGACAAAACCAATGAATGATAGCATGTGAATGTGCATATCATGTTTCTATGAAAAATGCTATGTGTACACCTCATGGTGTACACACAGCTTTACGCCCCTCTCACATAGAGAGGGGCCCACGAATATTTTATTGTGTGTGGGCCCCCTCCATGTGAGGGGGGTGTAAGGCCGTGTGTACACTATTATGTACGCATAGCATGGTCCTATTTCTATATGCACCTACCTGCATATCTTGCATATTTTTAATTTGACCGAGTGGGGGTGGGGGTTGGTGTTATTCTTGTTCCAAGCCGATTAGACAATGGTACAAGGGCACCTTGCCTAACCCATCCAGTAATGATTTCCTGTTGCTAGTCCAAGACTCACGAGACATTTAGGGTTGGCAAATTCTTTGTGGTAGTTTCAAACTTCAAATTGAAACCTTTCATCTTATTTTCAAATGACCGTGTTCTCCTCTTCATGGAGTACACATTTATGCGGAAGTATGTGTCCAAATTCATACACGTATCTTAATAAGAACGAAACAAAAAATGAGCAACTAATATAGAACAGAACTCCAAATAAATCAAAAGCCAGGATGTATTTACAAAACCAGCACCGGCAGAGCACAGAATCAAAATGAAGGAGTTCAATGCTTGGTCATCACTGACTTTCATAACTAGAAAGGTGATGACATGACCAGGAATTTAAAAAGATAAAAGATGGAGCCAAATAAGCACCGCCCTGCCATAAAGGATAAGGAGAAACGGTCGGATTCCCTATATGCAGATAAAATTTGTTTACTATATATGCTTAGGAATATCTTAGGACAAGGACTCCTTGAAGAAATATGTCCAAGACGTCACAAAAAAATTAGATAAACATCCAACGTTGTTGAAGAAATTAGCAGAGAAGTATCAGGTTTAATTATTAGCAGTCTTTATCCCCCAACTTTTACCAGGTCATGTTACATACACTCAGTTATAAATTTATGTAGTATATGAAAAAAGTCCAGCTCTTCAATTCTCTTGATCCGAGGATTTGGATAGAGTAATATGTCTGCAAGTGTGCAGAGAGAGATAGAAATACAACACATTGATATACTACTTTCTAAAATTCATATGGCAAAAGAATGATCAAACTTACATATTGTCCAAAATAAGAACTCGTCTGAATAAGCTAAACTATAAATGGCAGTAAAAAAATGTTGAGATATACTTCCTAGTAAATTGTCCCATCTGAAATGTTGGACATTTGTACCATGCCCCATATTGGGGTGTCAAATGCATTGGAAGGGTTCATTACATGATTAGATTTGTTGCTGCATTATAAATTATTGTTTACTCAACCTTGTATGCGCAGTCTCCAAATCATTCTGGATTTAAATTGCTACAACTTTCATATCCTATTGTTTTCGGAGCATGGATGTGGATAGAGGACACAAACTGGCTGACACATATTTCCTCTTATTTTCCTTCTTCCATCTCTCTGTGTGTCTACACCAGTGGTCTAGTTACTTATCAATTAATCATTTTTAGTTCAACTTTCCCCGTTCTGCCAATGCTCCATTATCATTTTTGATAGAAATCAGCATTGAAAGTTTTAAGCGTCAAGGAAGAAGTGAATCAGGAGTAGACCATTCTTTTCTTCTCCATCTCCTTTTCCCATTTTACAAGCGTAGTGCTTATTTTGACAGACTTTTATTCTTTTTGAGTTTTATGACATGTTTGGTAGGGGATTAGGCAGAATACTGGGTAGTATAAAGAAAAAACTACGCTAAAATCTTGTTTATTATATTGTCTAGTCCCCACACAGAACTACACACCAAATATACACTTACTGTTCACTGGAGTTGCAAAATCCAAAAATGCGAGATTTGTTGAATGACCATGTGGTTTAGCTTTCGATCGGATAGGCAATGCATGAGATTTGATTTCATACAGCAGCAATAAGAGTCATTGTGCACATTGCACATTGCATATTACACTGCTCCTATTACTAAGAATTTTCACTAGTCTCTAAGTTTCAGATAAACGTGAAACTCTTGCAGTAGAAGTTAGCATAGCCATGAACCTTTTAGAGGGATCCTTTCCACATCAAGAGATTTCCCACAACCTCAATTCAACTTTCTCTTGGAGCATCTCAGAAAACACAACTTTCCTTAAATGGTTTACTTGAATGCTCAACCTAACAGCATCCTCCCACCCCTCTGTAAAGCCACTCAATGAACATAGAATAGATAACTTACTTTGCAACTAACATAAAAGATTTATTCAGTATTACACAAGATAAGCAATTACAAATTTGTAATACAGTTCTTTATAAAATGTCATTTCATATGCATATAAATTATATCAGTTTTATTATACAGTGGAATACCTTACAAATAACAGCCAAATTCTTGGCATGGGAAGTTGCCAACCTTTGTTAAAGCATAAAAAGCTGGGAGCATTTCAGTTTTATAAAGGCATTTCCAATTAAAAGTCACCATAATAAAAACCCACTCCTTATCCCAATCAATGACTGCAGAATTATGAAGATTACCATCAAAACTGTCTCTCTTACCCCCTTTAAACTCATTGTTACAACTTAAAAAAACATGGAAGCCTTTGGTTTTTGTTAAGACCTTCCCCAGTGAATGCTCACCATCTAAAAACCCACTCCCCATACCAAGCAATGACTAGTCGAAAATGGGAAATTTAACATCAGGATTATACTCATTTCAAACTTGAACATCAGATGAATACAACAAATTTTGTGGAGCATCAGGACCATGCATGATAATAAACATCGTCTAAAATATATGCAATTATATAACGAGAATTAGCGAAAGCAATACGAGATGTAGCCGAAATCCACAAAACTTAGAAGAAATGCATTTGATTTTCTGATAATATCATTACTAATGGAGTATCTCAAATGCACCTTTATACATGCATCCCACCACATACAATTCCGAGATGCATAATCATTGACTTAGATGTTGTTTTGCAGCCAGTGCTTTGGTCTATATCATTATGTTTATTCACTGCATTTTTTGAGGAACCAAGAAGGCAATAATACATTATTTCTGCTCTATTTACACATTTCTACAAAAAAGGATGTGGGAAAATGACTTCAAACCTATCAATTCTACTTGCATCGAACTGTAAACGATATGTTTCTCTAGAAAAAAATAATGTTTCCTTGTAGTAATTTAGTGAAGGCTAAACAGAAAAAAAATTATCAGGTCACAGTTTTCTTTCCTACATCTCTGAACACATTGTTTCCCATTACTTCTAGTTGTATTAACCACATCATATTCATTTACCTCCACACTTCTATATTTATGCATTTATCAATAAAACTTTTAGAACCCTGGATCCGTGTGTCTTGTAACTGATAACTAATAATAACTTGAAATCGGTTGCAACTGAAAAAGAAATGGACTAGAAGAAGATTCAGAGGTAAAAACTGGGAAACGTACCCCATCTGAAGCAAGAACAATGAATTTATCTTTATCACTAAGAATCCGATGAGAGAATTCAGGGATTGAGATAACTCCATATTCCTTCAAGCAAAAATCCCCAAATGCTCGAGCCATTGCTAATCCAGGGGCATCATCAAACGGCAGCCAAACTCTTTGCACTTCAGGCTCATCTTGCAAAGCAAACACTCGACCCCTACACCGTTTAATCCTTTCTGCCTCCCCTGATTCCAACATACAAGAACGAAAGCAATTACTTCATGTAACAGGTATATACTGGGGAAAAGTAATCACTTTATGCAAGAACATACTTGGCAAATCGGGCTTTAGATCAACAGTCAATTGGATAGCCACCAAAGAATCATTACCGTCTTTGGATCCCAAAATTGCTCGAGAATCGCCAATGTTGCCCATGAAAAGATTTGAACCCTTAATCATGAGATATACAAAGCAAACTTAGTAGATAAATAAAAACAACCAAGTATCACAATTATCGTGGAAATACTTCTCTCTATACCTGTTTTACTATAGTGACCGCAGTGCTACCACTACAGAAGCAATCTAAATTAGGATGGGACCTCAACTCTTTGTCCATGGCCTTGTATGATTTAAGAAAAGATTCTCTCCACAACACATCCACTTTATCATCTGCCGGGATACCCCTTTCAGGATCTACTACATCTGATTTTGCATTCTTATTGCAGCAATTAGCACTAGTCCCATTCTTCTTTGATTCAAAAGAATGTAAAAATGTCATCAGCTTCACAGGAAGCGCATCCCGCACTTTGCGAGCCACCAGATGTCCATGCGGACCATGGCCATCAAATACACCACAAAAGATTACATCCTCTGACATAAAATCCTACACACACAAAATTGAACTAGTTATTTCTTCAAAATGACAAACAGGAAAAAAAAAAGAAAAAAGGACTTACTTCCCACACAAGCATGGCATCCTGGTTTATGCCTTTACGACCCTGCTGAGTGAATATGCAGGAAGAACGGCTCCTCCCATTGGTGTATATGCGACTATGTATAGAAGACAAATGTTGCAAAGTAGTGACGTGGTCAGAAAATGTTTTCCTACTTCTCTTTCGCCCAAACATATCTATCCCAAAACATGGGGGATAAACTGTCTCTTCGTTGCTCCTAGTACTACAAGAACTTCGACTGCTAATCGAGACACAACCTCCCATTTGGTCAAACCCAGAAAGAGACCATCCAATTGAAATACAAAACAAGATTCTTCTTCTTGATAGGAATAGATCTTACGGGATATCACAGAATCAGATTGTATGGTCAACCAAGCAAAAGACCACTGGCAGTCACAAGATTCCAACGCAGCAAACCAGGGGACTTTAAGGCTAATTATTAGAAAATTAGGTTCTGTTTTTCTTAGTCAAAGGTCAATTCTGCTGATGAAAACGTGAACCGATAATGAATCCAGCTAAACAAAAGTTGAAGACATTTATCAATTAAATATGCTTAATCACCATTTTAATAAACAAATGGAAATTACTGCATGAAAGTAAACTCACAAATCAACAAGACTTAGTTTTAATGATTTTGCATGTGATCCAGAAATATAATATAACACTAGGCTGTCTTAACCATTTGTCCTTTAATGGGAATCTCAATTATTTTAACCATGTTGAGAGATTTCATGCTAATATACCCATAATAGCAATATAAAATTGGAGGTAAAGAAGACAGAAATATAGAGAAATCTTGGAATATGTTCAAAGAAAACTCCAGAAAACACAAGCATAAAACAATACAAACTTTTTAAGTTGCCCAAATTATATGCTAACCTCCATTTATTTAATATAATCTACTCTTGATAAACTTTATCTTGTATCTACTAATCAGCCACCATTCCAAATTCATGATAATGATATTGTAGTTAAAGACTAATGGTTCTCTCTATAAATAAGAAAGATACCCGAAAGGTAAAAGGCTCCTCTAGCAGAAATAAAACTCTCAAACACGAAGGAAAAAAAAAAGAGCACGACAATCAAAAAAACAAAATAAGCCTTATTCCCAATAAATATGGAAATTGGCTACATAAATCCTTCTTGGTCGTCCATTCTATTTATGAATCTAATTGCAATTCTTAAGGATAAGACATACTGTATAAAAACAAGCGCAAGCATACAGAGTAATGTAGGGAAAGACTTACATAGATCATGGTGATTATTAGTCAAATTAAGGTAAACAAAGAATGAATCAAGCAATAGGAAATAAGGTGGTGTTTAAAGGTGAATTTTTTTCCCCTTTGATGCAACAAAATGGACAGCAAAGCTAAATAAATTGTACGAAGCAGAAAAGGACGAAGCAAAGCAAAAGTTTCGTCAAAACAAAATTCGAATCCCAAAAAAGCAAATGGATAGCAGATTAGCAGTAAAATTTCAAAGAAAAGAGAAAAAGTCAAGTATGAAACAGAGAAATACGATGCATTTATACGCCCTATTTAGTACCAGTCATAAAATAAGAAAACACCCAGGAAAAAGAAAGCAAAAGTTTCAAAAATTTCAACAACCCTCAAAGCATATAAAGTTGAAAAAAAAATAATAATAATAAGAACCCATTTAGAAAAACAAAGGGAGAACAAATGGAAAGAAGTAAAAATTAAGGTCTCGAGAATTTAATTCAAGATCAAATCTTTGAAGAGTTTTACATACATTTTAGTCACAGAAGAAGAGGAGTTCATGGGGAGTACCTTGATCCTAATAGGTGGTTCCAAAGTACAAAATTGCTCTTCTACTTTTGAAGATCACAGAGAGATAACACTGAACAGAACGAGAATAATAGTTGGGGCAGAAGAAGATGCATTGATTGCCAATGCATGAAAAAAATGGTGTAAATGTGTGTGTGTGTGAGAGAGAGAGAGAGAGAGAGAGAGAGAGAGGGGGGGAGGGGGGGGGGGGGGG